AAAGTAGGCCGTACCCTCTTTGACCGAGGAAACCACACTCGAGAGTAACTTAGAACGCCCTCTCCAGAGCGCACTCGATGTATTGTAAAACCAGACGGGTTTGGTGACCCAAAGAACGAGGCCCCACTGTTCAAGGGTTTCGCATGCAGTTCAACACCCCTGATTGGGGTGTGCCATTCATGAACAACACCCATCACAAGCACAAATAGGGTCCACATATGATGTGAATTAGTGGTTGGCCCGTCTCACGCCGGGGATAGCAAGCCCGGATAGGCCTGAACAGAGGTCTGAACAGGCATGTTCTCGTACCCCGGCGCAAGAAAAATCCCATGCCTATAGCATAAGCCTGGGTTGGATAAGTATATACAGGCCTGTACGGGTGGGACAAAAGGGTGCAATGGCTTTGAAAGAGGCGAACTCGAATGAAGAGCCATTGACAGGTGCAGAGCAGGTGGTTATGTAGCTCATGGTGGACACCTATCTCCTCCCCTTGACAGGGCACCTGACAAGGACCTGAAACAGGGGCAATATAATGAGACCCACTAACCCTCGACTCCACTGTGGCGACGTATCTTCAGCTCGAAGGAGACGATAAGACAACTTTTCTCCAAGAGCCCAGCCATATGAGGCATCGATGGTGAGAATTTAAAGAGAGAATCTTTTCCCAAGCATATTAATTTGACTACCAGTTTCTTCTCCTACGCGGCTTGCGGGAGTCTTCTTGCAGACCCTACGGGGAAAAGGCTTACCAGCATGCGGCATTGAGATTTCGTAGACGCACTGCTGTAGTGTGACTATGAACTCGGCTGATTTTGACTGAGGTAAAGTACATTTCCATTTTATGTGACTAAGAGACGAGGAGCTGTTGCAAGACATTAGGCAGTAAGACTTTGCGAGATATAGCGGAATAGTCGGCGTAACTTCGAAAAAGACGGACGAAAGTAGATATGTGGATATGATGGGAGTCACAAAATCAAAACAGTCAGCTTAACAGTTCCACCAGGCCAGCTGAGCAGTGTTAGACCAACTTATGTCGATTGAAACTAAGACTTCTTTCCGACTATGAGGTAGCAAATATCGCCCAAAGAGAGATATAAGAGACTCACACTCACAGCTCCCCCAACTACTACATCAGACCTCCAGCTCCCTCACAAGCCCCGTCTCCGTATCCAACGCCAACCCTCTAATCTCCACCCCAGCCAAAACCTTCGAGCTCCTCAGCGCCTCAACATCAACCTTGATGGTCTCCTCGAAATCAGCCGCATCAATACAGCCATACGACTCCGTCGCGTCAACCTCATCCGCCGCGTCGGGTGTTCTCGCCTTCGCGTCTTTGCGGATTTCATCGTCAGTGAGATGAACCATGCCACAATCTGGTTTAAGGTTAGCATGCGTGACCAGCACCTTTCACACCCCGAGTTCCAAGCAGCAGCAGGAAGGAGTGTGCGCTAACCGGTGTGGTGAATGACGAGCACGGCTGCCGCATTCGCCAACGATCGCAGCACGGTGATACTGGTTATGACATCTTTGCTGGCGCGACCGCCTGCATTCCGAATGACGGCGGCGCGTGAATCGGGGCCGAAGAACTGCTCTGGGACGCAACGCGGGTCAAGACAAGTCACTGGCAAGGGTCGTGATCAGCATGAGGACTTCCAGTGAAATGTATTTGAGGGCGAGGGCAGGATTGGGAACAAACAAATGATGAGTCCTCCGCCGGACTGGATTGCCATGGCGCGCATCTGCTCCATCGTGGCAGGCATTTTCCACGCCTCTGCGAACTTGCGATTGGTCTCTAGGAGACCCTGAATTTTGGAGTCGGTGTTTGCCATGCTTGGAATTTTTCTCGAGGGATGTTGTGAAATGAGGCAAGATCTCTGGGTAAGGAGTAGGAGTGTAGTTGCACGACTCGAGATGGGAGTATATATTCGTTTAAGAAAGTGCAGACGCAAGGTCTGAGGGTCCCCATTTTATAATGCATCCGACTGACGAAGCAGGGTGCAGAGTCCAGTGATTAGTGTTCATTTCGCAACCGAGGTCGCTGGTCATGTATGGAGTCGCGTGTTGCAATTTTTGCTTACGCATTTCGTAGTTCCTAGAGCTTTCAACAGTAATCGCATGGATTCGAGACAATGAATAGCATGACTAATGGTACGCGAAAGTCAAAGCGTTCCCAATTTCCTCCAATTTACATACTTCCAAACGCTTCTGACGGAGTCTCTCGACCCGTACCCACTCACTTGGCAAAGTATCCTGCTGACGAAGCAGGCGTGAAGGCATAAGTCAAGTATCCGATTCGCATTCAAAAATGCTGACCGTGCATATAGTCGTATAGTGCAGATACTGCTTGCTCGGAGCGGTTCTCGAAGAGCTAACGACAGCAAACATAACCAAGGCGATGCATCGCATGACTAATAGAATTCGAACCTCATCACTGTTCCCACTCCCTCCAGCTTCCATGTTCCCACAACATCCTCACAAAATCTACCCCTGCTGCCAGGCTTCCTCTTTAGATCTGGTTTCCTGAATCCTTTGGAAAAGACTGCCACCACAGCACTGCCTCAGATCCTCCTTCCACACGCGCTCATTCGTTTGCACTAGGATCCGAGTCGTTCCGCGCTCCATAACAGCGAAGCTCAAAGTCGCCGGACCCGCCACGACCCTGTCCTTTTCGATGAGCAGGCTATCCAGAGGGAAGGCGACCCAGAATACTAGGGATCTGAAGCCCGTGCAAACTTCTCGAGGGGTGATGATGATCGCGTTCCCGTTGCTATGCCAGATAATGACAAGTCACAGAAGTATAGTCAAATGTCCTGTTCACGACGAGGTGCCGAAAGATTATGCTTTTTTCGGACTGATAACAGCGAGGATCGGTAGGGAATTGCTTGGTGGACCGGGAGTAGTTGCACCCCTCTCTTCATCGCTAAGTTCTCAGGCTGCGTTCACATCTAGACGTTCAACGCATGTTGATAGCTGCTGTTAAGCAGTCGCATTGACTAGTCCAGACTTCTTTCATTGAGCTGACGTGATAGTGAATTAGAAGACGATGACCATGTCACGCTGGACTGAGCTAATTCATCGACTAGCCTCAAACCCCAGAGGTCTTCGTGACACGATAACAATACTCCAGGAACTAAATGCAAGGTGCAGGTCCGTGAGTGCTGGGTAGAAGATCCTTGCAATCGCAGGCTTGAGACTGATAAAGTAGCCTGGCTTTTGTGATAGTCAGCGTGGAAGTCTGACAAGCGAATCATCCTCAAAATCATATGAGCATGACTTATCTACAGATTGCTTACCCCGCCGACTATAATTTTCCGTCCGTATACAGTTGCCACCAGTCCTCACTTCGAGTGCCCAATTAGGACCTTGATAGATCTAGACCGGCACATGATATAATAATGCTGGACTAGTTGAGTAAGCTCCGGCGTCAAACATCGGGAGAAGCAGTGCCGATGTAACGATTGCCATTATTAATGGCTTACATATCCCAAGTTTTCCTCTAGGGACCGAAGTACCAGATGAGGGGGTGAAAGCCTGGTATAAATTAGCCTGCGCTGGCGGATCTTACTTAGTAACCCGTGATTTTGCTCTTCGTTGTCGGAGGAGCTTGTACAACGGCGGCCACGATGCCGACTTTCAGACAAAGATAATCATCTTGCGTAGGTAGTGCAGCCCGAGATCGGATGACGAAATCCAATGCTGTGCATCGCTCTCCATGGATGACCTATATCCGAAACCAATACAATTTCCACGCAATCAGAAAGGCCATCCTTTTTCGGGCTCGTACGTACGAATGCCTGGATATGAATCGTTGCGGTGACTGGATGATGAAACATATCGACAGCTTGGAACATGGCATGCTTAGCTCCTCGACTTTCCAAAATCTAGGAACAAGATGCATGAAAGGGAAGTCGTTGTGAAGACCATCCAAGCGCTAACGCTCTCCGTACGGCTATAGTCCGATCCTTCGGCTCCAACAAGTAAGTCTTCGAGAAAATGTAGATAGTGCCGCGGTTGATGATTTATGATTGCCCAAGGTAGAATGCTCTCATGTCTTTCTTGCCACGTGGGCTTTTCTAATAATGAGTGACTGAGATGGACTAGATTCAAAATAAACACCAATTTTGTGCTTAACTCGAAGCTAGGTAATCATAGCGATTCAAGGGACAATAGGCCACGTACTACTGACACATGTTGCCGGCCAGTCATGTGGGAAGGAAAACTATTTTCGGCCGCATCCGAAAAACTCGTGCAGCCTCGACCTTTAGCTAAATACTCTTCTTTTTTTTCTGATCATGGGCCTTAAATTCTCTTTAATTTCTAGGCTTCTAAACAATGTCGTTATCGTGAATGCGCCGACGAGTTTGCTAACGCGACCGACTTGAAGCAGTATGAATCATACGGCCCAGAAGAATGCACCAGAAAGAGGTAGTCTCTCTGGAGTCAGGAGTCGAAGAAGCTCGTTCCGATGCTCCTGAACCAGCGGGTCAGATACGGGAAGCCTGAGGTCACAATCAGCATAGTCTTTTATCAGTCCAGGATCGTTGGAAGGACTTTCCTATGGTAGCGGCATAGGGCGTATACATAAGCTGCATGCAAGTAGGCGCTTGCTCCATCTGCAAGAATCTGAATCTTCCGGCCGGACAAGGGCATGAGGTGTGACATGTGCTGTCTCACTCCAGTAAGCCTTTCAAGCAAGCCTTTCCTCTGAATCGATACCGGCTGTATCACTTGCAACTCCCAGGTAACCGCAGCGTAGATGTCCAGAAGCTTTGGAGAAAGGCCTACAAGAGGGTCGATTTCATCGCTGTTTTGTTCATCTCCCCACAGAAACCTGTTTGGTTGGCCGGGTCTGAATCCATAGGCGATGTTGGAGAAAATCCAAATGTGAGTTGACTTTGAGGCGGAGGCCAAGGTTCCCATGCTGCTGCAGACTCTTCTGGACCCTGTATGAGAGAAGCAGAGGAATTATATGATTTGTCCACCGCAGCCTCAGTCCTGGTCTAATAATCTGGCAGCAGACTCATCAGTTATTGCAGAGGGCAACACATTCGAAGACTTACGATGTACTGATTTGCAAGGATCGTGAAGTGAAGAGCATCGAGACGGTTTGTAGGAGGATCTGATTGCCATATTATCATTTGTTTGGTAGATTACCACCTCGTCAGCCCTTCTTGTGTCCGAAGGCTCTATCATTTTCTCTTTTCGTTGCTCCAAATACAAATTCATGAGGGCAGGAATCATGAACCGCTGGGTTGGAGTATCATGTTGACGCAGCAGATCGCTCAGCACGTGCTTGGCGACTAGGGTCGGTCCAGGTAGGAAAGCATTGACATCTATGAGGTTAGCGTCCGTCATCAAGGTGAATAGCGGGGTCTACTCACAGTAATGTATTTGCTCATTGGGTGTGAGGTCCTTGGGCGGTCGACACAGGCCATGCTTAATCAAGCAACGTTGAAAGTCTGATGATTGGCCAAGGTGGGAGCTCTCGGCGCCCTGAATTGCCGCTGCATCATTTGCGTGCCCGAAGTCGGCTGTGAAAGTCGTCGTGTATTTACCTTGGGCGGGGATAACGGTCGGTACAGAGCCCGCATGTCCGTACGGATTGGAAGTGCTTTGCCTTGCTGTAAGGACATCGGATTTACGGTGTAGGTCGTGGACCTCTGTCCGCGGATCTCCTCGTAGGCCATTGGATCTGCACTGAATTAGAAGTCACTATGAAGGTGCACAGTGCTAGACTACTGCCAATTGGCATGCTAACTTCGAAAGAGTAGTTCTGGTAAGAGAATAGTGACAATTCGAGTCGCACCGTACACATTGTGCACAAGGTGTAGTTCCATCGCATTTTGTCTTCCTTCTTTGACACTCATTGCATGCCTAGAGGTAATTAGTAGCTGCAGACGGCACCGTCCAGTGAATGCGCTTGCCAGCAAAACTCGGTTTTGGCCTACATTGGCTTTGCCGTACTGTAGCTTTGTTGTGTCACGCTCCTTGAAAAGATGTGCAGCACCCTCAGCGCTCATGAGAAACTGGGAGGTGGCCTTAGGACTAGGACATGGTGGAAGTAAAGTGGAAGGAACAGCAGCGCAATTTACTAGAAATGGAGAGGAAGACGTAGCAGTCCTATGAGGATACGGTGGGGGTTGGAAGTACTGGATCTGGTAGGGCAAACCTGGAGCTGAACGTTCTGCCATATCCCCAGAGTCAGCGCCCATAACCTGGCTGCTTTGGTCATTTATCACTTCCATCGCGCTGAATTGTATGATGGGACAAGTGGGAAGATTTCGAGAATAGAGGTGATGGTAAAGTAGGGAGCTATTGTCTCGAATGCAAATGCAAATTCGTTATCGTTTCATTGGTAGATTTCGAGGGGCACCTCCATTGGTAAAAGGCCGAAGGGTACGTACATAAGGATCGTTTCTGCCCAGCCGAAGATGATCCCACCAATCAATGCATCCGACCATTCAAAGGTTTACCAAAGAGGGGGGCCAACAGAGCCCTGCATTCCGAAAATCCTGGTCAATAATATTGTCGTTCCAGGCTCATTGCCTCATTCTATTGGGAGTATGTGGGAAGAATAAGATCCTGGAAGGATTTGAAAATGTAGCGAGTGGAATTGACAGAAACAATGTACCGCAAGAGCAAACGACCATCTACGCAGCCACATTTGCTTGCTCCGGCTGACCAACGGAGTATTAGTCGTGATCTCCAACCCGAGAGTTTTTCTTTATCGCAAAAAACTCTAGCCAGCGGCCACTGACGTGCCAATCCAAGAAACGACAATCTTTCTCTGCCACGAGCATCTCCAATACTCGCGATTGCGATGATCGACGAAATCATGACTTCTCTTACAGCATATGGTGTCTTTGATAAGAGAAGACGCCTAGTGCAGGCTGGCAGGTGATCTCGTCGATCACTGCAAATCGCGAGTAAGCGCGCGAACATTGACGTGGCAATCTTGAGTCTTTGCACTCATAAATGGCCAAGACAATCCTCTTCTCAACCTCTTCTGTGCGATCTCAAGATGTCTGTTCTCGTACACACTGAGAAGTGCACGGGCGCACGAAAGTGCCTCATCATCGGTGGCGGAGTGATGGGCCTTTCAACAGCATGGCATCTTCTCAAAGACGGACATACCGACGTCACTGTGCTTGATCACCCGGATCCTTTGGCGCCGAGCCGCGATATCTCTAAATTTTTTCGGGTTGACTACACGGATCCAGAGCGGATGAAGCTTGTATTGAAATCCAAGAATCTATGGGAGAACGACGACTTGTTCAAACCGTTCCTTCATCGCACAGGCCGGATCGTTGCTTATCCACCGGCGGGAGTTGACACTCTGACTGGTATTGACCGCGCCAGGTCTGGTTTGAGCCTACCCGCACGGAAGCATGAATCGGCCAGGCTTCTAGAAGACATATTCGAGTCAACACCCATCTCACAACAGCTTGAAGTGGTTTATAACGAAGATGACGGGGTCGTGGACTGGAATCGAGTGATGAAAAGCTTGAAACAAGAATGCATGAACACGGGAGGAAAGTTTCAAGAGGGACGTGTGCTACATCTAGACTCAAACACGGGAGGGATGATTGATGCCGTGGTGACTTCGGAAGGTTTTGTTGACGCAGCACAGACAGACATCATCTTGGCCGCTGGACCGTGGATTATGCAACTGCTCGAGGCTTCGAGCATTCAACAACCTCCGCTTTCAAGGGCGCCGATTGCAACTGGTATCTTTGCATTTCATCTGGAACTGACCACTCAGCAATGGGTCAAATACCATAACCTTCCGCGATTCTCCGAGATTGGCGTTTGTGGGTTACGCAGAGCCTCTACATGCGCTTTGCTAAATTTATGAGTAGGCGAGTTCGTATGCCATCCCACAGACGTTGGTGCGGCCAAGGTGACGTGGACCACGGCTTTTAGAAATCCGTCAGGGGATGGGGCCCTATCTGAGCCAAGCGATGTCGCCAAGACGAGTCTAGCCATCAAGATGATGCTAGACGCCCGTGATTGGGTTCGAAAAAGAATTCCGGGGCTCAAAGGCGCCCGATTTAAGTCGATACAGTCGTACTGGTGGGCAAAAACTTCTTTCACGACTCACGTTTCTCGGCTAATCACTATAGGGATGGCGTCACTGGCAACCAGAATCCTATCATCGTCCGGCACCCGGAGCATCCCAACTTGATCATTGCTGGGGGAGGATCATACACGCACGCCAAAGATCTCCCCTACATCGGTCGAGTCGTCACCGAAGTTTTGCAAGGAACCGGGACTCACAGCCAATTTGGCTGGGACGAGAGACCTGCCGGCAAGCACTTGAACAATCAGCCATCGCTGTATCCAGATCTCCTCTTTGGTGATCTGGAGTTGGAGGCATCGAGAGACCAGCGAGTAAAGGACTGGAATAGGGAGCGTTCCGACTGGATTATTTGATGATTGACCTTGTCCACCTTATCTCTCGAGAAATTGGTATTTAGCATAGGAAATCAGAGACACTATCAGCAGCGTACAATTTTGGTCTAATCCCTTTTTTGCATGTATGTCTTTGAGTCCTTGCTGTCATGCTCGGAACCTTTCGAATGGTAATGGTAACGGTAATTTTAGTGAAGGACGACACACACTGGGGTGATATGATAATTACCCCGGGCAGCCGACTTCGAAGATCGTTGAAGACCATAAGCAAACAATATACAGGCGGGTATGCCCCTGTTCATATACACGAGATGCCTGGGATCCATCTATTGTTTCCACCCGAGTCCAGTGGCAATAGCTTACGTATCTGGAGGGTCCCGGGGTGCGCTTTCAGATGATTCCCAACTCAGTATCGAAATGAAGCGAGACAGTTGCCTGACTAAATCAGCACTCCCTCTTCGTTTTCTCACTTGACTCCAAGAACGAAGCAGGAGATATCCCTGCTGTCTTCTATGACCATGTAGGCCGAACTGCAGAGTGCTTTCCCCCCAAAGACTCCCTCGGCCCGAAGATCATGTGCTCCCTCTGGTTATATGCCTGGAGCCCTTTTGTCCAGTCTCTGTGTAGGACATTCGACTGCATGGAGACACTCCCATACTCTTGAGTGGCCACACAGGCCAACCTTGGGTCCAGTCCCGGCCCAAGCTCCCTCCGCTCGGGAATCGTCTACTCGCTGCACCTTAGCTACTTCTTATAATACTTCCTTGCCCACATATTCGTAGGTCTTCCTTGCCACATGTTCATAAGTCTTTCTTGCCTACTACCCCGTAGGACTTCCGTGCCTGCTCCGACAGTAGACTTCCATGCCTGCACACAGCCCGAATTTTGCGGTGGACATGCTCATTTGAAAGGCAATATCGTTGATTGCCCTTGTAACACCTCATTTTTTCTTTATGATTGCCCTTGTCGCAGGCTCCCGAATGCGTCTTCGAGATTCGTCCTGGTCGTGTCGTAATAAATGAAAGGGAAAGATAAAGGCTCACCGGGCTGGTACACCAGCTCTGCGGAATGGCATGGTGCGTTTAGAAGTAATGGCATGTTGTACGAGGAAAAAAATTTGTCTCGATGGCATTTCCACCAGAAGGTGCAATGAGGCGATGACTAAGCAGTGAAAAAGAGATCAGTGAGCTAGCTACGGTCGTGCCAAGTTTTCTAAGCTCCTTTCGGTTGACGGATCTCGCTTGGCTTCTTTGGGTTAGTTCGCTGACTTCGCGGGCTCGGGGTGAAATCTCAGGGTGGTATCCCCCAAAACCACCCCCGGATATATCGGATTTTAGAAATTGCATGTCCGAGTAAGATTAAATTTTTTTAAAATTCGCTTATTATAGAAGGCGTTTATTTGTAATTAATATAGAAGTATATGTTTTAATATTTTTTTATTTTAATAAAGTATTTAATATTATATTTAAATATTTTAAATTTTTAATTATTTATGCTTTATATTTAATTTATTTTATTGTGTTTTATTTTTTTATTTTTTTTTTTGTTTATTTAATAAGTTATTATTAATAAATTTAATAAGATTTGAGTAATTATATTTTATTAAATTTTTTAATAATATAAATTATAATTTTAATTTATTTATTGATTAGTAATTATTTATTTAATATTTATTAAGATAAATAATATGAGAGAGAGTTACTATTAATATATATTATTAATTTTAATAAAGATATATGATTTAATTTAATATCTTAAGTTTTAATTTATTAAAATAATTATAATTAAATAGAAATATTTATTTTTATTATTATTATTTTTATTTTATTATAGGTTTTTTATTATTTAATTAATTAAAGAAAGTTTATTTTATTTATTATATAGTTAGGATTCTATATGTAAATTTTTCTAGATATCTACGATATATAGTGTAAGATTAAAAATTCGATATCTAGTAACTAAAGAATATATATAATATAGATAGATAATATAAAAAGATATTCTTATTAATATAGAATTAAATTATTTGATATTAATATATAATATATATTGTTAAATATAAGAGGGATATTTTTTTAGGTTTTTAAGTTTATAACTTAAGTATTATAGAAAATAAGTAATAGTTATTTGAGAAGTATTTATAGAAGGAATAGTTTATATATTTATATATTATTTAAATAATATATTTTTTTTGATTTTATTTAATATATATTATTTTTATTTTTAGTTTTAGTTTTATTTAAGTTATTTTAAGTTATAAGAGTATAATAGTTTTTATGGTTTTTGGATATTTATTTTTTTTATTTAGTTTATATATTTATAGATTATATTTAAGTAATAATTTATTTTATTAGTAGTTTAGAGTAGTTTTTTATTATATTATTATATTTTGTGATATTTATTATAAATAATATTTATGTTAAAATATGTGGGTTATTTAATTATAAGTTATGTATATTTTTATTAATAATTATATTAATTGTGTTTTATAATATTTAAGAAAATAAGATATTGTTGGGAACAGCTCCCGGGGCCTAGGGGCTCTGCGGGGGTATTTAGGTTAAATAGGGGTGTCTGACTGTCAGCGCAGACACCGGAAGCTTTTAGTGAGTTGCTAACAATAGTGTCTGCGCTTTATTTCGGGTCGGTGAAGCCTAAAGAATCTGGCTAACCACCTCGGAGCGACACTAGCCATAGCCGAGGGTGACACGCTTAGTCTATTTGAGGGTCGGGGGTTCGAGGACGCTTGGATCCCATCAAAATCGAAACATGATTTTTAGGGGGTCGCTCGGGTAATAGTCCGCCGAAGGCGGCCCCGAAGCCGAATATTTTCGGGCAGAACGCCCTATTAATGAGGTTATTTTGGGCAGACGCCCTATTCAATGAGGACATTTCGGGCAGGACGCTCTATATAAATGAGATTTTCGGGCAGAACAGCCCTATTCAATGAGGACATTTCGGGCAGAACGCCCCAGGGCGAAAGCCCAAGCAGACGCCCGGGAAAGAAACCCCGAGGCCGGCCAAAAACAGGCCTGAATTTGATTTGTGTGCGCTAAGGCGGGGCCACAGGCCCGGATGCCCATTCCACATTGTACCGGTGCGAAGGCGGGCCAAGGCCTTTCACTTGGTAGCCCCGTGGGCAAAAACCCAGTGGAATTTCAAGCCCCGAAATGAGCGGGATTTAGAAGTCTTCGGGGAGTAAACCCCGGAGCACAGGGCATGTTGTCTTAAAATCGTGGATCTTTCGGGGAAGAGTCCCGGGACGTCGCGATTTTTGCACTGTCTTCGGAGCTCGAGGACGAGCCCCCTAGAGGGGGAGGCATTGTTGGAACAGCCCCACGGGGCCCTCGGGGCCTCTGCGGGCGGGTATTTGGGTCAAATAGGGGTGTCTGACTGTCAGCGCAGACACCCGGAACCGCTTTTTAGCTGAGTTGCTAACAGATATTTAATTTACCTAGTTTTATAATTTTTTTCTTTAGTATTTGTAATTATAGATCGTTATAAGTAATATTTATAGGCTATTTTTTTTTTTTTAAATCTATAATATTAAAGTATTTTTAGAGTTAATTACTATTAATCTTTAGCTTTTTATATATTTATTATAACTGTTTGTGTTTTTTGTTTTTTTGTTTTTTAAGTCTTTTTTTAGTTTTTTTTATTTTTTATATTGGTTTTTTTTAATAGCTTTTAGTCTTATTTTATAAACTATTATAGTTATTATGTTATTTTTGTGTTTTTTTGTTTTTTTTTCTTATTATTTTTCGTTTTTATATGGTTTTATTTTTTTTTGTTGAACTTTGTTTGGGTTTTCTTTGGGTTTTGCTTTGAGCTTTGGGTTTGGTTTGGCTTTTTTTTTTTAATAATGTTTTTTTTATAATTTTGGCTGTGATTTTTTGTTGTGTTTTGATAATTTGTTTTTGTTTACTTTTTTTTTTTTTGAATTATCTTCTTTTTTTTATATTATTTTCTTGTTTTTTTTTTTTTTTTGTCTTTTAGTTTTGTGCTTTTTTTTTTTGTTTTATCTTTGTTTGTGTTTTTTAACTTATTTAATATTATTTAGCTTTGCCTTTTCTTAGTTTTGTTTTTTTTTTTTTTTGTTAATATATATTAATATTACTCTTGAATATATTTATAATTATTATTTTTTTTTTTTTTAATCTTTTAAATTATTTGTATTTGTTTTAAATTATTTATAAGTTTTATCTTTTTTGCTTTTTTAGTTTGTTTTTTGTATTGTGGTTTATTTTGTTATATAGTATTTTTATTATATTTCTTTGTTACCTCTTTATATTATATTTTTTTTTTTTTTGTTTTTATAGATTTATTTACTTATATAGATTGGTCCGTCTGTTTTGTGTTTGTGGTGTTTTATAGTTTCTTTGTTTTTGCTCTTTTTTTGTTGGGGTTTTTTTTTTTGTTCGAGTAGATTGCATATCGCAGCATTCAACGAGGACGACTCTCGGTCTACAAGCCACCGAAGAACAAGCATGGCTGTATCCTGGATGTGAAGGACGGTATAAACGTAGCGACTTTTCGTATCAGCCACAACTATCCTCTCAACCACCAAACAGGAACCTGCAGAAAACTCAAACCTAACTACCAAACGGATCATTCCCATACTGCTCCACCGACGTCGCCGACCCCAGCCACGCCATCGCCACCCCACCCGCCGCCTCCAAACTAATCAACGTCAGCGCCCCCGTCACTTGATTCTTCACCAACGCAGTATAATGATCCGTCCAACCCCTGTTCGTGAGCCCGACCATATTCCCCGCGAATTGTATCAGCAACTCCATATCAATCGGACTCCTATCCAACGTATCAACGTAGAGATTAAGCGCGCCGAGCTCAAACGTGTAGCTGTTCGTGATCAACTGGGCGCTGATTGCTTGAACAGCGGCCAAGGTGGCCTTTCGGTAGAAGTCCGCCAGCGGCTGAGCGGCGGCCACGACGGGGAGGATGGCGGTGGCTTTCCAGAAGGTGACGGCGTAGCGGCCCCGTGTGCCGTGCTGGCCTGTGGATTGGGTTGAGATCCAGTTGGGTGGAACGCGGGGGTCGAGGACGTTTGGCGCGGGCGGTGAAGGATCCGGGTTGGTTTCTCTGACATGGAGGGGATGAGGAGCCGTGGCGAGAGTGCAGGCGAACAAAGTCAAGAGATACAAACTCCTAAGGAGCATCATCCTGTTTACGTGGTCAGAAAGAGCTCCGACTGCGCGTTTCGTGCTGTTTCTAAGCAAGGTGACTCCTAAATTCCAAGTTTTCAATTTGAAAATCTTCCCTACTAAGTACATCGAGATATACGTGCAAATGCACGTCGTTCATCCCGCAGCATATGTCCACCAATCTGGCGGCATATTTGTCATCTTGTCCGGAGAAAATTGCGACAGGCGGTGGGGGTTAGTGGGTCACATGTGGCCTTTGTCAGGGTCCCTGCAAGGGGTAGGAGACAGGTGTATAAAGCCACCTGTTTTGCACCCGTCAATGTTCGGTTTCGTCTCTTTCAGAGAGATTGCATACTTTTTGTCCCTCCCACCCACAACCTGTACATAGCTAGCTACCATTTCACTCCAGGTCTATGCCACAAGCATGGAAGTTTTTTCTGCGCTGGGGTACGAGGAATCCGCCTGTTCAGGCCTCTGTTTGGGCCTATGCAGGCTTACCATCCCCGGCGCGAGACGGCCCAACCACTATCTGCACTTCATGTGGGCGCCTATGTGTGGATGTGATACGGATTACTCATGAATGGGACGACTGGTTGGAGATTTACCTTATCTCATTTCACACCGCAGACGACGTGTCATCCGAGGCTCGTAATGCAGGCATGAGGAAACGCACGGGAAAGCCGAAAAGAATCAACTTTCTTCCACAGCCTACAGGCCACTATTTGGAGATCTTAAAGTAGGTTTCGTCAGTAACGAAACTCGTATCCGTCAATCGGCCGCTGCTGTTTCACACCCCAGCTGTCGGCTGTCGACTATTGCAACTTGCCGCCGCAGCAGCGGGTGATGTTAGACAGGCAAATCGCTGCTTAGGACGTCGCGTCTTCGTACCTTTTGATATCCTTCAAAAAGGTGCTAAATGCTCATTACGCGCGAGGCGCTAAGGAGGTGAGGTATGGGAAGGTGATGTGGCCATAAAGAATGTTTGCCGTGATTCCGCCTCTTGTACGAAGCTCTTACTGTGGTATCCGTGTTCACGATCCTGCAACGGCTCTCTATGTACAAAGCTACTCAGTTCGACAAGGATGTACATACTGACAATCCGTGGCTCAAGCTCCAAGCTCTCATCTCCAAGATGTGGTGCAAGTCATTTCACTCAGAAGCCACCGGGTACGGATTACCAGCGGCGCCTCAATCGTGGGACTATTCAAGCAAAACAGAACCATCTCCGTATTGAACCCACCATAGGTGTACGTCTCTGGCGCGCACCGAGCGAGACCGTTCTGCTGCGGGTTCGACTTGCACGGCTGCGGCTTCGGATAGGTAGGTTGCTCATTATGGTTAATGGGTGATGCAACGGATTCTTCGATTGCGCATAGGACGTCGTTGACCGTGGTTCCACCGCAGGAGCCACTGCCGCCCGATTGGGAGAGTGAGAATTCGCCGGTGAAGGCGCCGGGGTTGCCAGTGTTTGCGCCGAAGAGAGGAGGCTGGCCTGAAAGCTTGTCAGTCTGATTCCATTCGGTCGACGACCTTATGTGAAAAGATTGCGCTACCTGTGTGGGCGGCGCCAGTGTATAGAGCGATGATGCCGCCAAGGCCCTGGGATAGGAACATAGGGTAGCCACGTCGATACCATCCTTGGGGAGGAATCTGTTCAGGTTGGTCCACGATTTACGCAGTAAGTGGTTGAACAAAGATAAAGTTGACGTTTCCATGGCCGAATTATCCTCCGCCAATAACAAGAGCTACGCAACGCCGTCGGTTGCACTATATGCTATATCCAGAACCAGCCAATCTCCACAAGGGACAAGAATGCAGACTTATACTGGATATCCCAACGCCTGGAAATGTGGTCACGCCGATAACAACAGCACCACCACAAGGACAATCATGTTGCAGCCCAAAAGAAAAGCGGCTCCCCCCTCCCCAAAATGCTAAAACACAAGACTCCACTCGAACGACATCCCGAATCAATGCACCGGCTTAATAGGCTGATCCCACTGCAACTTCATCATCAAATCCGTAAACCGCCCATCCGGCTCCATCAGCCGCGCCGCCGGACTGACGAAGCCATCCGCCAGCTTCCGCATGCAGCCAAAGAACCCATACTCGAAGATCCACTCCGTCTCGTCCATAAAGTTGGCCAGTCGGATCGTGAAGCCGTACACGCTGGCGGTATCCCGGGCGACGGACGCGATCTCGGACACGATGATCGGGCGACGGTAGCGGGCGTGCATGCCCTCGAGGTACCGAATGCAAGCGTCGCCGTCGGTGCCGTAGTAGTGGAGGCCGACGTAGTCGGGAGGGTCGGAGGCGGTGAGGCGCATGAAGTCTTCGAGCCAGCGCTGGCCGTTCTCGTCGTTGGAGACGGAGGGCCCGACGAGTTTCTTGCCCCCGTGCCGTCGCAGGGGCACCATCTGGCTGTGCCAGGCCTGCGCCGCGCGCTGCGGGGGGATGTTGTTCTTGTCGGGCTCGTTGAAGAAGTGGACGATGGGTTCGTGGCTCTTGAGTATGTTCTGCCAGTCGCCGCCGGAGAGTTGCGCTTCGAGGTGCACCATGGGGCGGTAAGGGGCGCGGTTGTGCAGTTCGGGCGGCGTCCAGGTGTTCCAGTTGCTCACGGAGGAGATGGGGCCGTGGAAGTCACATTGGTTCATGGCCCATGGCACGCCCGGGTTGCCGGGACCGGAGCTGTTGGTCCAGTCCCAGAGGAGACAGCGCTTTTTGATCACCATGGCTGATTTCTATGTGAAGTTTTGGCAATGGGCGGTGTTGGATTAATTTGCAGGACTAAAAATCGAGTATGGGAAGGGAACCTTGTGTTTCAACCAAATGTCTTGAAAGTTTCATGAATGATGAAATGGTCGTGCGAAAAAAAAGGCTCGGTTCTTATAGCAGAACACCACTAGGGAGTGAATCCTTCAGCTGCGCATGGTGCGTTGGAGGCTCCGGATTCCTGGAGGAAGGAAGCACAGCCCGCAGGAATTAGGTTCGCCCAAAGATAGATTTTGCAGGGAAGCACAGCCCACAAGAGGGACACTACAGCAATATTGAAGACAGCAAGTGACCAATTTGGTGAATTTTCGAGCCTGTTTCATTCGCGATCGAGGTTGGGAAGTTTTCGATGGTCGTCAACATCTTGCGACGCCACGCCGGATTCCGTAGTGTTGCTGCACTCGCATCTTAGTAGGACTTGAGAAGGACCCGAAGTCCTGGTCATTAAACCTGGCAACCCTTTCCATGCGATCAAGTTGGTCACAATCACCAGATTGAGTATGGAATGACTGCTGCGCAATGCGTCAGTCCGGTCAAAGTCCACACTGAGGGAAAATCTTCAGGAACGATTTCGATCGTCGCAAATCTGCGACTTCCAGATACCGACCTTGTCTCCGAAGTTCGTCAAGACTGGGCATTGCTTATCGACGTCGGTTCCATCCATGCTATCCTTCATCGTCCGGATAGCAGAGACAGTCCTCCATCAACTTGTGCTTCGCTACTCAGTCAGCCTGGCAGCGCATCCCTCGCCCTACTCATGCTCCATACATAGAGCGCAATCGATTACTGCCGTGGGTGATAACTGGAGCGGTAGATGGCCGACAAATGGAAGTTGACGTATGTTCGACAAAGGGATTCGACGCCTCTGGAAGCAAAACGGAATCCTCCCACATTCTCCGGAAGCCTGCGTTCATGCCGCTGGTCCTGCTGCTGCTGCTGCGGTCAAGGATTGTCTTCTTCTTGTCTATAGTGACAGACAGCGCAGAAGGATGGAGAGATGGAGAGAGCGATGATTCTTGAAGAAGAAAGTGGCACAGAGGTGACGGATTACACAAGGCAACAGAAGAAGAAAAGAATAGAATCCAGACACAAGAATGATAGTAGAGCATTACCCCCTTCTCAGCAAGTAGCACTCATACCACGTTTCTCCGAGCTGAGACCGCACGAACGCCACAAATCAATTGCAATGTGAATATAACCGGGTTCGACTGAAGGGACAAAGAGTCGAAGACGATGTATGCGTATCTAAATAAGATGTAGTTGTCTAAATAGGATGAGGCTAGAAAGTCTGCCGGTCATCTATTACCGAGTATCCTTCGGGAATCCTTCGATCTTGTAAGATCCACTAACTGTCGAAGAGAGCCCAGCGAAACTCCTGTTGTCAAGTATGTACATATAAGGTTTGGCTGAGAGATAGTCAGGCCTTAGACTGAGCATGATCCGAACCTCGGGTCTAGATCCAGCGACGAGTAATGAGCGATGGCAATCGCGCGGCCTGCGTGCGAGAGATAGAGAAAGTCCCGAAGCGACGAAATATCCCAAAGTGCGACCAACGCAACAAGCACTACTTTTCCAACCACCCCCAGGTCCCCTGACTTCTCAGCTCCTACCCGCAAAGTATCGCACCAACCCCATCGGAAGTAGTTGCAGTATACGGAATGCCATTCGTTGGATCCGTGAAGATGGCCGGGCAATCCGTAGCCGGCGGACCGCAAAACGAGTCCGTCGTCGTATTCGTAAGACTAAAACCCCAGGTCCCAAACGGATTCCCGTTGACCTCGCTGAGATCATAGCTGATGTCCCCGTTTCCCCCATTCGTATACTCAAATTGCAGAATATTCCCCGAACCGCTCGTTACGGAGATTTTCAGCGAATGACCCCCATCGCTCGACGCGGCATAAGCCTCAGAGTAAGTCCCTGTGTTGGCTTTAATAGGGACTGTGGAGCCGCAGGTTGCTGGATGCTGTTTGCAGACGTAAACGTAGGTGGCGAAGTTGCATTTGTTGACGATGGTTGCATATCCTGGGGTACCAGAGCCGGCGCCAGAGGAGCCCGAGCCCGAGCCAGAGGAACCGCTGGTGCCTCCTGTGCCGCCAGAGGAGCTCGTCGTGGTGGTGGTAGCGGGGGTTGCTGGGGCTACTGGCGATGGTGATGGCGCTGGCTTCGGCTTTGGTGACCAGTTGTTCGGGTTCCACGGCGATGGAGCTGAGAATGTGGTGAGGGCGAAGAAGCCTATGATCACAAAAGCGGTGGTGGCAGATCCGAAGGAACGCATGATTGGCAATGGGTTGTAGGGTTTGAATTGTAATATTCGCAATGGGAAGGTGTACGTTAGGTATGAAAAAGCAGAGTCTTGAACGTTCAACGTCTGATAGGCAGCAAAGAGTCTAAAGAGTGTTGGTGCTGATGAAGGAAGGGATTAGACGTTCAACGTCTGAGATCCAAAAAGATCGACCGTGTAAAGAGTGCCTGAGGTTTTTGCCGGCCTAGGTTTGAAGGAGGACACTCTCGATTCTTATTCAAAGGTTCTCAAGTCTCGACCATTAGCAGATGCGGCGTTCCTGTTCGCCCTGTCATGCATCTCTCCAGTTACTGTCACCCCACCACGGCCTCGAAAATATTCTAGAGATTAGCTAGTCGGCGGCCATTCCCTTTTGGCTGCAGGTTGAAGCCAGAATACGACGCACATGCTCTGCTTCGGTCTTGAATCCCAGGGCCAGACGCTTGAAGAATGTTCGGGGCGTCGCAGAATACGTGCCACTTTGGACAAGTTTCGAGATGCCGGGGCGTTAGTATGCCACATCAGACATCTAAAAACTTTTTTGGACTGCCAAATGCCCTCATCCCAACGATAAAACTTTCTCCGGACGCGTGGCTCAAGGTCGTGCATCCAATGGCTACTGAAAACCTGGGAAACCCTGCCGAGAGACAAATGTGATACAGGCGTATAGTTTTGTTCCTGCGCCGAGTTCGGGGTTGTTCGGGGTTGCCCGTTGTATGGCCGGTATTATGGGCATTCCTCCTTTGCCTCACTCGTGCGCCCGACGAAGATGCGAAAAGGCAGATTTTGCGAAGAGGTAATCGTGCCTGAGGATAAGGAAAGTAGAGCCACACAGCCTGTGACTAAGAGAGATCGTGGTATCTCGAGAGAAAAAAGTTTGGTCCAGGCCGTGAACTCAGAGTACTTGCTGTAACGTGAAGAGTACGAGGTGTATGCGGAAGCTGCCTCAGCTGCAACGCCTACTCGCCGAATCAGACGTGGCAGAAGAAGTCCAGCTTAGATAGTGATGGATGCACACCCTTTCAGGCTTTGGCGGCGAGATGCTTTGCCACACGGCGCATGGCGTTTCAGGGTACGTTAGATGTGCGACTCCGGTTTCACACAACGGGGGGCTAGCGATGAGATGTACCAATGAACATCGATACTGGTCTACATGGCGGTCGAAGTTCGGGTTATACTCTAGTTGCGTCCAGCATCGTATTCGTAGGTATCATACGGAGTACTAGAATAAAAAGGGTGAGTTTCAGAATTATGGCACAGACCTAGAGTACGGAAGGTGAGGTCTTCACGCTACCGAGGCTACCCTCGGCTCGGGCCACCTCCTCACCTTCCACGGCATACCTCTCGTCGAATGATAATCGATACGATGTTAAACCTCATACGAGCTCGTCTCTTCGTGACATGATGGTGTGAGAGTAAACTCGAGATGTTTGAATCACAAGGTTAGGACACTCGTAGCCAATGACCGGTCTCAAAGGCCTAGGGTATTGGCCTCCCAATGCCGCAAGGAGTTTGATATGTGAAGTAACGCGACAGAAGACGGTTTCTGCGGCCAGAACGAGGTATGGAGACGGAAGGAGGAGATTCTTGAAATGTCCTTCGCCGTTGCCCATCTCCGATGTCGTCAAGCACATTCACTGCCTCGACAGCACGAACGCGTCATGAAATCTTTGAAAGATAATCGTAGGTGGCATGTAGACTTGGTGATCGTAATTCTGACCATTACAAGTCAAGTGCGTGCTGCTCAATTTTGCGAACACTCTACTCGAGAATATTTGTCTACAACATCGAGCCGCTGTAATGTATGTGCGCATTTTATTTCTCTCAAGTATGCACTTCACGGCAGCTCTCGTCCGCCACGAGCCCCCGAGCAGACGCCGGCCTCCAATTAGCTCACCATAGCCGCAGATGAGTTATCTTCTGTATGATGTGCATCTGAACCTTTTACCTCAGTCGAGTGGACAGATCATAGGCCTTGACTTAGCACATCTGAAGATTAGATCTCGCGAAAAACACATGTCCACCACAGGTCTCCGTTGAAATCCAAGTAAATCAGAGCATCTTTGTAGCCCACGGACAGACTGCAACCTCTAGTCGCTCGTGACCTTCTTGATCAATTGTCCAAGCAGACTACTTAATGTCAGCATTACCATGATCTCCACGAACTCTTTGTCAAGACACTTACTCATCCGAATTCTCAATCTTCACTCCCCTCCTACAATGCTCACAGTTCGCGCAACTCCCGACCTCCATCCCCGCCGTCGCAGCCACCAGAGCCTCGTACATCTGCGGGCTCGCCTCTCTCAACTCCAGCATCTTCTTGCTGCGCAAGAACTCTCCACCTTGCGAACCTTCCGCCAGAACTTTCCGGTTCCCAGGTCTAATATCTGCTAGCACATGCTCCGGGATTTTTCCAGCCTCTTCGCCATACACGAGAGAGCGCTCGAGTTCGGGGCCCATCTTGTCGCACATCTTGGAAAGATGAGAACCCATGCGCGCTAAGACGGGCGAGTCGAGCCGCTCATTGCGCATGTCTTGAACTATCACGGTAGGAGAGCAGAAGGCTAGTGAGAGAATCTTGTCGTGCATGCTGGGCGGGGTGGTCTTAGAGTCGTCCATCAGTTCGGCAAGGATCGCTTTTGCCGATGGCATGTCCTTTGTGACTTTATCGAGCCCACAATATATGACTGATACAGTGCGGAGAAGTTTATTGTAATTCAAAGTTGCCACTGGGGTGCGGCCAGTAATGTCTTCTGTAAGATCTGACACTAGGAGATCGAGGATGTCGGTCACGCTGTGGGTGTGAGCCGCAAGAGACGGGAACTTCGACTGATCCAGTTTGCTGACGAGCCAGTTCGCTTGGCTAAGAGCGAACAGTTTGCTTTGTTTGGTGTACAAGCTGTGATCATTCGGCTTGCCTTTGTCGCGGAAGATGGAACCTTCTCTCTGCACACCTACTTTCCGGCGGCGCAATTTTGTGTAATCGCCTAGATACTGCGCTCGGATATCTATGCTGAGTTTGAAAGAGTCGAAGAAGTTTTTAGTGGGACGTTGCCCGCCGCGGAAGATGTCGTCTTTGAAGATCTCTATCACCCGTTCGAGGAGAGTGATACTTTTCTTGATATGGCCATTCTGAAGTAGCATGTTGTATAGATGGAAGAAGGCTTGCATATATCCGGATCGGTCCCAGCATTTGGTGCCCCAGTCATAGGACATATTGAGCATCTCCACCATCCCTGTACCGCATAGATATGGCGAGTAAAGCCAGAGCCCATTTTTTGAGCTCTTCGAGAAAAGTGAACGAGGCGCTTCAGGAAGGAAATCGAGTGGAGTCTCGCCGAGTAAGAGAGCTTCTTTCATCATGATGTCCAGATAAATGATCGGATGACTCCATTCTGTAGGGTCGCCTTTTCTTTCTCTGTCTGTCTTGAACTCCTCAAGCAGGAGCTCCGTAGCCTCGACCCACTGTTCGCGAAAGCTTCGTATCTCCACGACGTCATTCGCAAAGTCCCAAACAAGCGTCGAGCTAGTCGACCCAAAGCAATCAATTGGAGGTACGTCCTGAGCGGCCCATCGCTTGGCGCAGAACATGGAATCAACTGCGATCTGAAGTTGCAAAATATGGTGTGGCTTCAGTTCTGATTCAATTGGAGCGCCAGGCTTTTGCATTGCTAGAACCGTCAAGTCGCGTGCAAAATCCATTGGCCCCCAGAGAGGTCGGTTTGTCCATTCGCATTCGACCGAGTCCTCAATCTTCCAATCCAAATTCTCGGGATTTTGCATCTGTGACTTACCCTTGATGAGTCTCTTCATGGCATACGTGTTTACAAGATCGTACAGCCAGGAAATCGTATAGTCTGCTTTCCATTTGCGAATGTTCTGGGGTGTCATATCCGCAGCAAGGGTGAACTGTGTGTCTCTGAAATTCGGGTTCCAGCTCATCTTCGCAAACGTAGAGCTAGGCTTGCCGTTGCGGTTCTTGCGGTAGTCGGTGACAAAGCTCACAAGATCGTTGTGGGTTGTGAGGAGCAACGATTCCTCGATCGCGCCCATGTCTCCCTTTGCGTTGAGCGCAACTTGCTTCGAACTCACCTTGCTCTTTGCTGTTGTACTCGAGGGCGCTGTGGCTCCAATGATCACGTAGTTACCATTTCGGACTAGCTGGTTGATTATCTCGCAGAAATGGGTGCATGCGGGATAGTCCATGGCCAGCTCATACTGCAGTGACCGCATCATGCCCACAGCCATATTGCTTAACGCTCCAGCGACTGCACAGTGGAACTGGCCCAAACCAACTTGACGCCAGATGTTTCTCATGTACCTAGGCACGTCAGCAGATTCTTAAGTCAATGCAGAGACGGCCTTACTTCCTGAGGTGAATGATATCTCTGACGAAGAAGCATACGGCAAAATAGGCTTCTGTTTCCGATTTGACCTTGTATTTATCTAAAGGCTCCGTAGGAACACGGCTGGACTTGCCCTTCCGCTTGCCTTTCGCTGCTGCTGGTGCTGGGGGATCGGTAGCTGTCACTTCCGTGGTTGGCGAGGCGCTTTGCGTTGCCAATTCGTCCAATACCGCCTCGTCTTCGATGGGCAAGCTCTGAACATCTAGGCCATCAAATTTGTTCATAAACTCAAACGCTGGATCTACGCCTTCTGGCCCGGCCTCAGATTTCAATGTAGCAAGAGCTTTAGATCTTTCCTCTTCCCTAGCCTTCCTCTTGGCATTCCGATCATCTTCATGACTTTTTCTCCAGATAGCACCGCCGAGGGCGTCGAATGCGGATTGCAACGCTACTATGAACGCCCAATGACCCTCATTGCTCTTCTCCACATCTGGATCTGGGTGATTGATAGATAGAGCCTTCCAGATATCGTGCGCAGCAGTCCGAGCACCAATCACCGAGTCAAAGAGAACATAGATAGAGTCTGGCACGGACTGCTCCGCCTCTGCGATTGCGGTCGAGAGGGATACGAGTTTCGATGTACTAATCTCGGAGGGGAAGGCTTTCGCATTCTCAGTTCGAGCATTCTTTGCTGCCTTCCTCTTGTGCTTTGGATTATTGTTGATTGGCTTGGGAGCGATAGGAATGGCGCATGAAGAAGCTGTGGTTACGATCCATCGAATGAGTGTTGAAGTATTTTTCTTGTATTGCTGGTAAGTGCTATGCTGAAGCACTTCCGTAGCATTAGATGCCACCATGTTCGTATGAGATAGGGCACATGCTAGGGAATATGCTAATTAGGAGCAGCCTAGGGAAGAGAAAGTAGGAGATGAATGGGAGATGTGTGTTCCGGGACTCAGCAGTGTCGAGGAGGTACGAGGGGTCGAAATCGAATGAAAGCCACTGTGGGGAGAACTCGGCAGGGTCCTCGGCAAACCTTCCATTGACGAGTACGAGTAGAGTAAGGCTCTCCGACCTCTCCCGCTCCGGCATCTCCGCCCTCCTTTTCGGCGCGCAACGCCAGGTCGAAATGCAGCTTGACTTGGACTTCGGCCAGCAACGCATTGGGCCGCCACTGGGACGATACCGTTACAATCGAGCCGACCTGCCGATATACGCCAAAGACCTCAAGGCGAGGGAGGAGCCGAACCTGACGTGGGAGATGGTGCTGGAGGCGATTGAGTTGGTGAGATTCTGTACCGTTGGGAGAGATATATACTTGGAGATGGAGGCGGGGATTTATTATACGGATGTTGGGCTTCGGGATGTCGTGGTCAAACTTGCGGCATCAGGCCATGTGCATCAGAAATCGTTTAATCAGTAGACGTTGGCATCCGGCCGACTCCTAACCTCTTTTTGGGGGGTTGGTCTTCTCACTGAATCATCAAACCGTCACAATTGGTGGAGTCTGGAAACTTCGCATCGATGGACTTCAGACTGGGCGAAGGGTTCGCAAACTCCGTCCCGCTCACTAGGATACAATTAGGAAGAATTCGTCCGTCTTTAGAGAAGAAAGAAGTGGTCCGAAGGATTACAGTAGTCGTTGCTCTTTCTACAGTGTACACTTAGCTCTAAGGTAAGTCTGATACATGATATACCTGCAATTGGCCCGCTCAAGGCTGTACTTGTAGGTGAAGCGGAAGGATACCCGGATTCCGCCGGCAAATCGGCACTGTCGCAAATGAGGTCCAACGCCAAGCCCGCCAAGAATGGACTCGGGCTGATATTTCGCCGGCTCCAGCTTCAAGTCGCACATTCCATACGCAATGGAGCTTGGTCAGGTAAATGCACTGGTTGATGGGTTGCGCCGTCTTCGTGTCTTCTGTAGATACCGCTTGTTGGAAAATTATGTATATAGAGGAGCTCGAAGCCCATCTGTAATGCAGCATCATCCACTCCGAAATCCAAACCCGCCTTGAAATTAAACAGACAGAACAAGTCTCAGTCTTTCAGCCTCGAACGATAGATACCTTGACCTTCTGACGGTATCGACCAAATTCAATCTCACCACCAAACATCAATCCGCCAATATGTGCCACAAGAACCGCGGTCCTCGTTGCTCAACCTGCCACAAACCAGCTCCTCGCCATCGCTGCCACTGTCCCGCCAAATACGCCGCCAAGCCGTCTATCAATAATACCCAGCATGATGTCCTCCCGGCCTACGCCGCGATGACCGACCCGCAGCCATCGAAATCGTCTCCATTGCCTATCTCTGTGCAATCACGCTTTGGAGGTCACGGTTCTGGCTGCCGAAGACGACCTTGCCGTGGTCCGATCCACTTCCTGGTCAGCTTGGTGATTCGCAAGTCTCAGGAGAAGAAGGAGAGAGAGAGTTTGGCTGCCAATTTGAGCGATGAGACGGAGAGCGAGCAGCAGGAGAGTGGGGTAGTTGAGACGGTGGATGAGAAGCAGATGAAGAAGGGATGTGTGAAGGTAGAGGAGAAGGACGAGGATGTGAAAGTCTTGACAAGGTCGGTTAGTGGCATGTCTTTGTGAGGCAACGGAGCACTGGCGAGAGGCTTGATCAATAGCAGGTAGAAGGGTATTGAGGAGAAAGTTGTCCGCTCTGCAATGTATAACACTGGAATAGCCCCAATGAAATGAGTTGGGAAGCAGCAACCAATAATGCACTGATCCCATGTTAGCTCTCTGACCAACCCAAGAGAACGAATTAATTTGCGTGGATGCAGCCATGCGTCGAAGCAGCCATCACAGTCCTTATCTATTCTTCGATTGTACTATACACTGAGAAGATGGATGGTATTGATGGGAGCAAGAGAGCATATCATATATAGCTTGACGAAAGAAGGTGATCAAGTGAAATTGCTATTGCCTCTTGGATCAGCGCTTCTCCGATCTTGTTTCTGAATATAATGATGACCGAGACATATGCGCACATCGAATATTCGTTATCATGGATGTTTTGCACCGTTGTTGTGGCCGATCACACCTGAGAGGGAAATCGCGCGTTCGTTCATGACAGCATTGATGAATACCTACTTTTACCAGGTATGCTTCCCATCGGCCAAGACCATGAAGTCTCCGCTTTTCAGTTTTGGAACAGCATGCGTAAGAGAGCGACGACCATCTACATTAGGCAAGACCAAGTCTTCAGCACGACAAATGCGAGAGAGACTCCGAGACGCGTCGGAGAAGCTGAAGGAGGCTAGGATCAATGTTACCCCGTGCGCCAAGCCAAGTTGTCTTCGACAGAATTCCAGCAGTTGATTGGACGATTCGTATCTTGAGTTGCGCTCTTTCCGGGTAGGGACTCTGTCGCCATGATTGATGGCAAGCTTGGCTTGAATGGTATATAAGCCAGACAGAAGCAGTCTCTCTACTGCACTCTTCCTACACCACAAGGCGCACAAGGCCAAACAGAACCTTCACCTCCGAGTGCTGCCCTGCCTGTTCATTAACGGGTCCGCATCGAGGCCAATGACGCAACCACCAGAATAGACACCATCGCAAGCTTCTTTCAGCTCATCTTTTCCACGAAAAAATGGTCTTGATCCCTCCTCCGCCCCCGTATACGCGCTACGACACGAATCCAAGGACATCGGGCTCAGTCTCTAGCCCCACGGTATCCGAAATTACTCATCATCCTGGTTGGGCCACTGGCGCAGATGCTGTAAGAGATGGACCAGGGCAGGCACCGAGGTCAGTCTATGAGGAAAGGACAAGCGGAGAGAAAGGGAACAAGACCAAAAAAGCCGAGGCCAGTGGCAAGGGGGGTGCGCACCTCGGCGAAGCGCTATACGAGGCGGTCTCGAAAGGAAATGCGAAGCTCATTGGCTTGCTCCTTGACCACGGCGCGAACGCCAACGCACGCCCTCCCTGCGCAAAGCCGGCGTTGACCATCGCAGTGGAAAAAAAGAATTTCGAGGTCTTGAAGATGCTATTGGAGCAAGGGGAGCCAGATTTGGAAGCAAGACCTCCTGCAGGAGAGACGGCACTGTACACAGCAGTCTCTAAAGGGTACACGGACATGGTTGAGTTGTTGCTTGAACACGGAGCCAACGTTAATGCAAAGCCGGACGGAGGCAAACCAGCGCTGCTCGTGGCATACTCAAAAGGACGCAAGCAGATCTTGGAAACTCTGTTGCATGCTCCAGAGCTCAATGTTGACGCAACACCGCCTGGGGGAGTCGCGACGCTATGGCACGCAGCGGAACAGGGTGATGTGAAGGTGGTACACATGCTTCTGAGCAACGGGGCCAAGGTTGACGTCAAACCTCCCGGTGGCTCGGCGGCCATGTACCGCGCTGCTGTTCGGCAAGACTTGGCGACTGCAGGCCTACTTCTCCAGCATGGCGCTGATGTCAATGCAACACCGCCCGGTGGAACGACTGCGTTGTGGCATGCAGCCTCCAAGGGTGACGAGTTGATGGTGCGGCTGCTGTTGGCGCACAATGCTGATCTCAATGCGAAGCCACCTGGAGGGAAGACCGTATTGACTCAGGCAATCAAGAAAGGTAATAGTGAGGTGGCGCGAATACTACTTGAACACGGGGATTGTAGGAATCTTGGATAAACAGTTATGGATGTTCCGGAATCTATAATGCGCTGTGCTAAGATGCTACCTGGCAATACTATTCTCTAGCTTGATCTCAGGATCTCAGGGAACTCATTTTTGCATGTAGCAAAGCTGTTCAATTCTTACAGGTCCGATGTGAGTGACTGGTGAGTGAGTGACTGGTGATTGGAGTTGTTTCAGTACGCACCTCGCGTCTGCTCGCGAGAGCGAGTCCACAAGTAACCGCTGCCAGTTGGCCAGCTTACACTAAGTTCTCTCGACACCGTTCTACTTCTCACTTTGATGCTTCTGCTCGGCTTGAGCCAACCGCGCAGTCCTCATTCATCTCATCTTGCTTTCAGTCTTTATCACCAACCACCAAACAACAAAACACCCGGCCTAAAAAAATTAAATAATATATAAAATATTTAAAATTAATAAATGAAAAATGTAAAAAATAAATAATAGGAAAAAATAAAAGGAAATTTAAAAAAAAATTTAAAATAAAATTAAAAGAAAAGAGATATAGAAACGTTGAATCTAACACCGACAATGAGCAAAGACAAAGCAAGTGATGAGGACTTGTTACTCGAGGAGCCACACGGGACAAGTGACGCTGAAAACGCTGACCAAGCTGAAACTTCGAGAACCAGAAGTCTCGTGCTGATGTTGTGAAAGCTCGCATGATGCGATACCTAGAGATAGAGACACCGGACACCAGTGGCGGAGTACATATGATATTGCCAAGATGGTAACACAATCGAAGGGTAATAGCAATGACGCTTTGAAGGTGGGAAGGCTGCTTGAAGCCATTGAGTTGTGAGGATAGCTCCGTCCGCCTGCGAGAGTCATGAGACTGACTTGTAATCAGTTACGGGGCTGCAGTCCAGGTTGCGACAAAATTAGAAGAAGCCCAAGTCATCAAATTGAATCGATCGATGGCCAAACTGAGGACTGGATGTTTTGACAAAGCAACACTTGGAGGACCGGTGACAACCAAGATGACAGAAGCTCGCGGTCATGGTCTGTTCGCCAACCGAGACGTTGCTGCCCGTGACCCTCCACTATGCGAAAAGGCGTTTTGATACTCCTTGTTTGACAACAAATCCACGACAAGTCTTAGGAGTAAAAGCACGCTCAATGGAATTAAAGCAGATCTCGTTATAGACCCGGTACATCAGCTCTTTCGAAACCCTCCTTCTTATCTGGCTGTAATGTCTCTCCATCACGGTACTTACGACCCGCCCAAAGAAGAGGCAGTGAATGGAATGCCAATGATCGATACATATGCTAACTAGGTTCTTATATCCCTTGAATCGACTGTTCGGTGCTTAGATGCGGTGTAGGTTCCTCATCGATCGTACTCTCTCTCTCCCTCTCTCATCGCCTGTGAGAGTTCTCGAGCATCCCTCCTGACAAATTTCGGCGGAGGAGGAGTTTCGAAAGCAGAGAGAGGGAAGCCCGACCCTTCATACGGCCTCTACATTAAGACATCTTACATTACTCGTAGTTGCTTCAGCAACGTACGCCGCAGCTTCATTGGAGACTTGTTTATTGTGCGTGCCACGCGCAACATTGCAGCTGGGCAGGAGATATTGTTATGGAACGCCTGGCCGAAAGCCGATCCCAGCTACGAATTGACACAGGAGAGGTTTCCAAACTGGGGCTTCCGCTGCGGCTGCGACACCTGCACACACGACCGGGAAACTTCGAACAAGAGAAAGAAGAAGCGTGCTGCTTTGTTGAAAAAGATCAATGTTGCCGGAAAGCATGTTGTGGGCGAAGCCGATCTTGCAAACATTGACAGGTTGCTCGCCGCCATCGAGGAAACATACACCGTCCTAGCCGCAGTAGTGTCGCGTCTGCCTCTCCGGAATCTTTACCTTGCCCTGACACGTATTCACGCCTCTATCGGGAGCCGGTCAGAAGCATCACGACGGCATGAAGGGTCATGGCCGCTTTGGGATCCGTAATCAAGCGAGATACATCTTCGATTGCTTCTTCCTTTAAAGTAGAGTCGTTGGGACTGGTGTCTGATCCTCTAATCGAAACATGGGTGCACCTGTGGACGGCTTCCGAGTGTCTCGTGCCCCGTCAGCTGGGGTTATGGGCCAAGATATGCTAGGACTACATATGGGATATGCATTTGGGGAGGATGAGGGCTTTGAGGAGAATGTGGCGAGGGTGGCCAGGAAAGTGATACATGGAGGTGGCGATCTGGATATGACATCTATGACTCTTTGACATCTGACCATCAGACGAGCCAAAGATGTGACCTTTGGATACAGAGGCCTTTGACAAGCCAATCCATCGGATTCCTCCGGCGAGTGGTAAATTCGGAGCCAGCACAAGCCGTGCAGGGAAGGTTTGCCGATGACGCTAAGACGATAAGTCGCGAAACACAAAATGTTCACACTTCATCATTGTCTTAAGCTCCTCCCATCACTGTATGATACGGTACAAGTCATTCATCATGAGCCTTCCCAACGAGCTTATACTAGGAACTCTACAGTACATAAACAAAGCAGACCTCAAAAGCGTACGACTGGTCTCCAAGCTCTGGTCCGGCTGCGCTTCCGAGTATCTATTTGCCAAGCTCTTCATCTCCCCTCACAAGCTCAATCTTCAGATTTTCGCCGCTGTCGCGCGAGATCCTACGTTGAGTAAATTTGTGAAGGAACTCGAGTATAATGCCGTCAGTTTCTCGCCGGACATAACGATATCGCAATACTTCGAGATACTATGGCACCAAAACTCCATGATCGCCTTTGACACAGAACGGGTTTCCGAAGTCCCTGACCCCCATATCCGTCAATTCATCACCATGATCAGAGATCGTCGAGAATACTGGCTTGACTGGCAAGGAAGAATGGCACCTGTCCAGACGCAATGGTGTGATTTTTCCTTTGTCCAAGAGGGTTATCAGAAGTGGATCAACCAAGCACTTTTTGAGAAGAACTGCCTTAAAGAAGACACCCTTTTCAAACTACTCGTCACCGGCCTGAAAAGGTTTGGCCGGCTTAGGACTGTGAAGCTGAGCGATAGATGGCATTCCGGAGACAAGCCCGGCCGCCAAGGCTCTCCACTGGCTCGATCATGGCTTCCCTTCCATGCGCATCCAGGAGACTTCATATCTGATTCTGATGAGCCCCTCAAAGAATCCAGCACATCCGACGCCTTCTGGACTCTCGCCCATGCCCTCTCGGGAGTCAAAAACACTAGGATTCGGAATCTCTCAATCAAGGGCCCCCTCCCTACTGCTGCCTTTCTCACCGAACCAGGCGAGCAACAAACTCATGTGGATCACGGGGTTGGCGCATTCTGTAGACTCGAATATCTGAGGCTATCCCTTGCTGGATATTCCCGCGAGCCCATGGTCAAACTCTATGAAACTCTGCATGGATTACATCGTATGCTCGAATCCATGACGGCCTTGAGGCGATTCGACCTGGCCCTCCCTGTTGACTGTGTCGATGAACCAGTTTGGTTCTTCACATACCCAATGATCTTTCCCGAAAATGGCCACTGGCCTCAGTTAACCACATTCACGGTGGGAAATCTGGCGATCAGCACCAAAGATCTAGTAACACTGCTCATCACGAAGATGCCAAGCCTACGGCACCTCGCCTTCGGCAACATCAATCTCCTTGACGGACAATGGGAAGGTATTGTCGAGTACCTACGGGTCGCGAATTGTCTTTCATCCTTCCATATAGTTCCAGAGTCTCTGCTGGTTCATGGCGGAGACCAGATTTACCTCTCCCAACGTCACGGGCACCGCGATGACCACGACCACCGGAGCGGAGATTTTCTTAAAATTCTCCACTCCATTGGGGACTACGTGGTCAACTGGTGGAATAACCCTACACTGAGACATCCGAGTCTGAAATTAGGTCAACCAGCCCAACAGTCTCTCGACTACCTGAAGGACGTCTATTGCCTGTCCGACATGAATTTGACGCATGACATGTTAGACGGGCTAGCTGAGCACATGGTGGAAGACGCCACGCGATATCGCGAACGGGACGAGTCCTAGGCTCGAAATTACCGACTAAAAGACTTGCCGGTAGGTCTCCAAGAGTGATCTATCCCGAATGACTTCCGACACTGACGTAGAAAGAAGTCCCATACAGTTCTATGGCGATAGAGACTTCTTTGCGGCAGTCAATACACTCTAACCTTCCCTTTCTTCAGACTCCCTTGCAATTGTCTGTGCCTTAGTGGAGGGATTGCCTAGACCAATGTGACTCCGCCCAGCATTGCTCAAAACGTCCGTGATGCTCTGAAGGAGAGTGGCAAAGGAATCGCAAGCCTGGTGATTGCGAAGACATGGGATAGATGGGTAGCAAAATGGGGCTTTTGTCAGCGGAGCAATCTTACTTCATTAACGCGGTGTGATCGCTTACGAGCAACGTTCAATTAGCCTGTCCCATCCAATTGAAGTTTAGATTGGGAATTTTTTCAAGACCTCCACTCCACATCAAGTGTTCAAATATCGTACAAGTAGCCGCCATGTCTAAACGCCCGAGGCCACCCCCTCTGCCTTGCGAATTGCTTGTGCCTGGGATGACGTTCGCTTTGGATCAGTCTCGTAAAAGCTTAAGATGATACTTGCCTGCTCTACTGGGTAGATAACGACCGTCCGCCTATGCCATGTGCTCGTACTTACCGAATAGACCAGCATAAATGCCCCAGAACGTTCCCATCCACTCGTGTCATCAGGCAAACAGGGACCACATCCCACAACCTCGCTACCCCTAGGTAAGAATCCCATATACATTCCATCCTCAACACTTCCATGTCAACCGTGAACAAACCGTGTCTATCCCAGCGCTGAGCATGCCTGCACACTACACACGTATCTGCCGAGGCGTTAAGCTTCCGAAGGAAAGCCCCGCCGGGCGCCGCGAAGACAGTCGACGTAAGCTTCGTCGTCTTCGCCAAACGCTGCCTGGATGGCTTTCATTTGCTTCGAGGGTAGGACTCGTCGGCGCCCCCCGAGGACTGTGGGATTAGTGTTAGGACACTCACGGTGTAGATGTTTCGCTTCGATCTCAACTGCAAGGGGCTGCGTGCGATCAATTTGAGCTGCTGTAGGGGTTGATATGGCTGTAAGGAAAACTGAGTCCAGGCTGAGGTAATGAGAGATAAAAATTTCAGGTTGTTTGATGGAGTTACGGCAGGAATGATGTGTTGAAAAAGATGTAATCAAAGGAATTGGAAGATGATTATGGAATCAATGTGAGTAGGGAGCATGAGATGGAAGAATCGGTAAGGATCACTGCCTACCATAATCAAAGAGAGCCACGAGTTCTACCAGTCCCAAAGTCTTTCTCACGCTCAACGCCTTATCTCGCAAACCTCCTGCTTTCTATCTGCTTGACTTGATCCACTCTTTCCCATTAAGCGACTTTGCATCGACATTGGCAATACACATCCGCAGCGATCAAACGATGGAACTCGTCGCCTTCAGACGCAGCATGGCACAAGGAACTTTAGTAGTCCTCTCAAGCGAACGTGCGGGAAAGTAATAATCTTGCTGAACCAACACGCCAGCAGTCATCAAATCTCCCGGAACGAGTTGGGGCGCCAATAGCAAGCAGGTTCGATTACTGCGTACAAGAGAACAACTGTCTAACATTTCATTGCCTCAATTTTGAACTTGATGCAAGGTTATTTGAAACGACGTCGTCAAAACCAAATTTTTATTTGCTTTTATGTGGTATGCTTGTTTCCCACCATCCGAAGACTAACGTCCCTAGGTCGTACCTCTTTTTGAACCCTAGGAAGCCACTAAAAGCTATCGCGTGCGGCGCATGAATACGGAGCGAGAATCGGGACTCTAATAACGTTTTTGCGGGCGAAACTATCTATTTACGCCCCAATCGCTAAGCCGGTCTCGGAAGATATCGCGAGACGAGACTTTCCACGAGCGAGGCGCAGCGCCCAATTCGTAAACCGTCGCACAGACAACCGTGGTTGCACACCAAATGAGACGTTATATTCTGCACAGCCATTCGCAATACGAGCATCATTTCTTTTCAGCCCCTATCGTCGTTCGTCCCAATGAGTACATAACTCGCCCGTATGCCCCAACTCAAACGATCTCGTCACACATAGCACACTCACATTGCCTTCCTCAACCCTCCTCTTGACAAATCCCCTCACTCACTCACTCACTCACTCACTCATTCACTCATTTTACCTCCTCACAATGCTCGCCTACTCCGCCTACAAAGGCTACAAAAACCACAAAGACAAGAAATCCTCCGAGCGGCTCGCCGCCGCGGCCGCGGACGAGTCCCAGGGAGTCAGCCCTCCCCCTCAGCAGCAGCAGTACCTTGCACCGCCCCAAGAACAACAACAACAACAACAACAACATCATCATCAACAACAACACTATGCGCCCTCTCAGCAGCAGCAGCAGCAGCAGCAGTATAGCGCTCCAATCTATGCGCCTCGTGCTCCGTCACCGAGTGAAGGGAAGCTTTCGTACGTATACCCTACTTATTACAGTCAAGAGTGTCCGCTGACGGTGTATCCATAGCAATGCGCAGCCGAGTCTGGAAGCCCGATGGCAGAACCTGGAGGCAAGGGTGAGCGCGTTGGAGGCTCGGGAGGCGGCGCGGTCGTGATAGGGGTTGAGCCAGGAAGAAAGGGGGGGTGGTTGCGTACATAGAATGCGGAGTTTGTATGTCGTTCGATTGGTCTAGTTTGAGAATAGCGTCGACTCAGCTGTGACGCCCTACCACGGAGTATCGTTGTCTTACTGTCATTGCAAGTCCCGCTGTGCTTTTTTGGGGTGGGACGCTAGAGAAAATTGATCAGAATGCCCAAAATGTCCTTTGAACGAATGTGCCTTTTTAAACCATCCACAGCTGACCTTTTAGCCTAAGTCAGGCACATCGGGAAATTTTTATTTCGCTCCTTTGCAAGCATGGTGTTTTGAGAGGCCGAAATGAATACATTCGAGGAAGAAAATGAACAAACACCCTCCCCCCCCCAAACATCAACGAAATTTGTGATTTTACATGTTTTAGGGGAAGCTTCCTGGGTTGTTAACCAAAAGGGCGCTCAATATGATTGAACGAATTGAGAATTTGGCGAATGATTTCGGTGATTTGACTCTATGAATGCGGATTACCGATCAGTATTCCGGAGTTCCGTGGTGGTTGCACGGAAATGTCCGCGCAATCATTCTCCCTTATCAATATAAAGAGGGAGACATTCTCTGCTTCCCTCACTTTCCACAAAGACAAAGTCCAAAGAGATGTTGACTGTCGCACACATGTCCTTTGACGTGGCCTGTTCACTGTAAGACAGTTCCGTCTCAAAGAGCTGAATGCCGCGAAGGTTAGGGAGAACTTCTCGGGACTCTACGAGGCTGGTAAGATGCAGGCGAAGGGCGTTATTGTTGCGATGTTCCCCATGGAGCTTGACCTCTTGTATGGATGGTGGCAAAGAAGTTTGAAAGTTTTGTACTAGACTGTAGGAGTCTCCGAAAAGGATCATGGTGTCAGTGTCGAGGTGTTCTAAAACGCAAAATGTACATAGACTGCCCATGTACTTCTTCGTTGTAGACCGTGCTCAGATCTGGAGTGCTCGGAGCTAGTCCTGGGCGCAAGCCAATAGATTGGTGACAATCGAGAAAGGGTCAAAGTCATGCTCCAAATGAGGAGAACTCGCAGGCCAATACGTTAAAGACAGGAGCAATCCAAAGCTTTGTAGGAGAAGCATCAGGCGCTGTGGCGGGACATCCCCATAAAATACGTTCAGATCCGTGACATTTGAGCCTTTCGTTGGCACGATGTCCTCAAGTATCTCACTCGCGCCACCAACCCACGCGGCGTTAACGGTCTTGACTGATGAGAGCGTGGCCAATAGTTCCATAGTCTTAGGGTCAATAAAAAGGTTGCTGTCAGAAGTACCGATGGTTACGTTGATCAGGCTGGCCAACGGGACCCTGTCAGGGTATCTCGCATCTGAGATGCGGCGAATTATCCTCTCAACTCGCGGAGTGAGGTGTGAATCCTGAACATCGATAGACGTGAGATTGGGAAAGAGCGTAAGAGCAAGCGCAATCAAAACATCTTCCTCTCCCGCTTTGAGGCTTGTAATCCATGAGTCTTTCTCATCATTGGGTATGTACTCGGAACCTCGCACAGCAATTTCGAATGCGCCACATCCGAGGCTGTATATCCAACGCGCTCCAGCTCACCATCATCGAAATCGTCGTCGCCCCTGGCCCACCCAGCGCAGCCACCATCAATGGTATGATGCTGAACGTAGAGCATATTTCAAGGCTCGACCAAGATACTCTTGATAAGTTTCGCCGTAGAGCCGGGCTGCTTGGTATTCAAGGAGGTTGAGAACCTCCGCTTGAGGCGTTGATAAGATATTCGATGTATTGCCGTCACAGCGTACAGGTGCTTGTTCACGCAGTAGTAGCTTCCGAGATCAGGCGGTGGCAGGTATTGGAGGACCTCGAGATATATTTCGTTCGATAATTGGTGAAACAAGGCATCTTGCCTCTGGGGAAGGTTGTATGGATGAAAAGGGCCGGGTACTAGTACTGGGCAAACGCGGTCAGCGGACGTCATGCTATTGTGCCAGAGGTTTCAGGCAGATACAGAGCAAGAATGCTCCATCTGGACTTAATATTGGCCCACTGGCTGCTGTCAAAGTAGCTTGCAATGGTGCTGCTAGATGTTCAATCAGAAGAGTGTGGAGAGTGAAAATCAAGAGTGACTGAGTCTGGTGGATCTGCGCGACCTGCACAAGCGCATCAGTCGCCCTCCGTAATTCTGGCTTAGTCTTAACTTTTCGGATGAATTCACCGGCAATGGTATGCTGTATACCTTATGGTTGAGATTGCGCGGCAGAATAACCACCAACCATATGAATACTGTGTGTGGGAGCTTGTAAAGACATCGATAACCCTCAGTTCCACACGCAATAACTACAATTCCTAGTGGCGCTTGTTCAAACCTCCCGAGCAAACTTCAAATGTACGGAGGTTTTAGCAGTTTTTTTAAAAGAAATGATTTAAAACGGGAAAAACCCCACCCTTCTTCCAAAAAACCAAAAAAAAAAAAAAAACACCTTCCAAAAAAAAATCTTAAAAAAAAAAAAAAATTTTTTTTTATATTTTTTTTTTTTTTTTTTTTTCAAAATATATAAAAAAAAAAATCTTTTAAAAGGGGGGGCCCTTTTTAAAAATATTTTTATAATTTAATAAAATAGTATTGTGGTGTGCACTAAAAAAAAAAAAATAAAAAAAAACCCACCCAAAAAAAAAAAAAAAAAAAAAAAAAAAAAAAAAAAAAAAAAAACAAATAATAAAAAAAAAAAAAAAAAAAAAAAAAAAAAAAAAAAAAAAAAACATGATTATTAAAGGTTTGTATATCAAAAAATTTCTCCTAAAAAAGTAAAAAAATAAAAAAAAAAAAATAAAAATAAAAAAAGACATCGGACGGTTTCAATTCGTCCAAATATGCATCGTCCGATAGGTGACCCTTGCCTGCAGAGGTTCAATTGGCTGTGATCGTCGCAGTAGATCCTCCTCTTGTGTCGTTATTGCAGTGATGTATTATATCAACGCAGTGGGGATGACAGGCCAAGTTGCAGTGGTGTTCTCCGCTTGCTGAGTGGCGATCTGACGTGGGATCGTAGAGAGCAGGCCTGTGTTCTTGGTGCTGGGGGCCTTGCTGTCGCTTGGTTTCTCCACAGTGTTCTCCGCATTTGCCTGCTGCAGTGGTTCCTCCTCTTACTGAGTATCGGGCTGGTGTGAGATCGTGGAGAGCAGGTCTGTTGTGTCACTGCTGCTGCTGACTGTCTCCGCAATGTTCTCCGCATTTGCCTGCTGCAGTGGTTCCTCCTCTTACTGAGTATCGGGCTGGTGTGAGATCGTGGAGAGCAGGTCTGTTGTGTCACTGCTGCTGCTGACTGTCTCCGCAATGTTCTCCGCATTTGCCTGCTGCAGTGGTCCCTCCTCTTGCTCAACTGAGTGCTCTGGCTGAGTGGCTGACTGAGTGGATGACTGAGTGGATTAGTGTGAGACTGTGGAGAGTAGACCTGTTGTGTCACTGCTGCTGCTGACTATCTCCGCAAAATTCTTCGTACTGCATTACTCCTCTTGTTGAGTGATTGGCTGAGTGACATGCTGAGTGGCTGGCTGAATGGCTCGTAAAGAGCATATGACGTGGGATCTTGGAGAGCTGAGCCGTGTTCTTGATGATGGTGGCCATGTTGTCGCTTGGTTTCTCCGCAGTGTTCTCCGCATCCGCCTGTTGTAGTGACTCCTCCTCTTATTCGTCTGGTTGGCTGCTTGGGGTAGGATAATTTTTTGCTTTGTCCAAATAAGCAGTTACACTAAGACCTAATCAGGTAATCGAGCTTTTAAATCAGTGATTTAACAAATCCGATTAGCTTCCGCGCGGCCGCTAGCCGCATAAGGTATACTCGTAAACCCCACATATACCCGGAGTAGGGCCGAAAGAGGTAGGGCTACACGAGGCGGACAGCGAGGTAGTCGACAGCGAGGACGTGGTACGCCAGCCTACATGCAGGGTAACGAGACCATATTTGGTACTTTTCAGCTGCAGGAAGGCCAGGTGGCCAATAGGTAGTGGATATTCGAGTACGATAGGCGTATTTCTAGTAGCAACGAGAGAGGGTAGCCAGCCAATCAACAGTCCAAAGACCTCACCATTCGACGATTTCAAACCGTCTGATCTTTTAGACTTTATCAGGAGAGGTCTGAGAAGGCTTGCCTTGCTACCACCACCAGGGGGTGCAAAAAGTCATTGGGCAAACTAGACCGAATTTGGACGTAGAGATTTCTCTAGAAGAAATCCAGAAACGGATCAATGAGATGCCGGAACGCTATGTATGGCTTATAAATAACGGTGGTAAGGGCATTAAATCAGCTACTTGGTGATCTGGTAGTGATAGAATAACAGAAATGTAGCCAAGTTAGCCTGGAGAAGCTATGTCCAAATGCAGCCTAGTTTGCCCAATGACTTTTTCCCTGCCCCCCCGGGCCCCCCAAGAGTCTCGGCAATATTCCCCAGGAAGCTATGTGCGAGGTTTATACCTTATGCGGCTAGCGGCCGCGCGGAAGCTTATCGAATTTGGGGAGGGTGTACATGTATTAAAAGTATGGTTGGGAGTATTTAGTTCGTATTAGGTTCGAGGTTGTTCCTAATGGCGCTGGTACAATAGACAGGTTTAGCAACGAATTTCAAAAGAATGATTCAAAGCGGGAACAGCCCTACCCTTCTACCGCTAACCCGATTAGGTAATATCACGGATTTCGGCGAAACCTTTACCGAAGAGTCACAAATCTCTTTGAATTTCACTTATTCTTCTTCTTTCACCACATATATACCTCATGAACTCCTCCAATGATGGGGCCCTCGTTGCGACGACCTTTACAGTCATATTGCTAGGCTATTAGGCTGTGATCGCCACTACATCACGTTATAGATATATCCCCCCAGTGAAGTACGAGCAGACCGATGTTAAGGAGTCATTGTGATTTGACTTATATATGCGTGTGATGTAAAAGATGTTGATTAATCTATGTGCCCGCAGGCATCTCATAATAATTGCCCACAAAAAATAGAGAAATGCCATGTCCTCATGGCAAGAAGTATGCATGCATAGTTTTTCGAATGCCGGAAAGAAATGGAGACACCGGGCTAATTAGTGGTGTGCATCCCACGAAATCTCCTGCTGGAATGAAAACTTTCGAATAATGAAATGGCTGTCGAAACAAGACATCGGACGGTTTCAATTCGTCCAAATATGCATCGTCCGATAGATGACCCCTGCCTGCAGAGGTTTAATTGGCTGTGATCGACGTAGTAGATCCTTCTCTTGTGTGCTTATTGCAGTGATGTATTACAATGTGATATTGCCTAGGCACGCGGAGATAGCAGGCTAAATTGTAGTGTCGTTCTCCGCCTGCTGAGTGGTGATTTGATGTGGGATTGTGGAGAGTATATGACGTGGGATCTTGGAGAGCTGAGCTGTGTTCTTGATGATGGTGGCTTTATTGTCGCTTGGTTTCTCCGCAGTATTCTCCGCATTTGCCTGCTGCGGTGGTCCCTCCTCTTGCTTAACTGAGTGCTCTGGCTAAGTGGCTGACTGAGTGAATAACTGAGTGGATTGATATGAGACTGTGGAGAGTAGACCTGTTGTGTCACTGCTGCTGCTGACTATCTCCGCAAAATTCTCCGTACTGCATTGCTCCTCCTCTTGTTGAGTGATTGGCTGAGTGACTGGCTGAGTAGCTGACTGAGTGGATTGGTGTGAGATCGTGGAGAGCAGGCCTGTTGTGTCACTGCTGCTGCTGACTGTCTCCGCAATGTTCTCCGCATTTGCCTGCTGCAGTGGTTCCTCCTCTTGCTCAACTGAGTGCTCTGGCTAAATGGCTGACTGAGTGGATAACTGAGTGGATTGATGTGAGACTGTGGAGAGTAGACCTGTTGTGTCACTGCTGCTGCTGGCTATCTCCGCAATGTTCTCCGCATTTGCCTGCTGCAGTGGTTCCTCCTCTTACTGAGTATCGGGCTGGTGTGAGATCGTGGAGAGCAGGTCTGTTGTGTTACTGCTGCTGCAATTCTCTCCGTAGTGCATTATTCCTCCTCTTGCAGAATATCAGACTGAGTGACTGGCTGAGTAGCTGACTGAGTGGATTGGTGTGAGATCGTGGAGAGCAGGTCTGTTGTGTCACCGCTGCTGCTGACTGTCTCCGCAATGTTCTCCGCATTTGCCTGCTGCAGTGGTTCCTCCTCTTGCTCAACTGAGTGCTCTGGGGCTAAGAGTGGCTAATGGAGTGGAATCTGACTGAGTGTTGATAGCTGAGTGGATTTGAACATGAGACTGTGGAGAGTAGACCTGTTGTTTTACTGCTGCTGCAATTCTCTCCGTAGTGCATTATTCCTCCTCTTGCAGAATATCAGACTGAGTGACTGGCTGAGTAGCTGACTGAGTGGATTGGTGTGAGACCGTGGAGAGTAGAGCTGTTGTGTCACTGCTGCTGCTATCTATCTCCGCAATCCCAATTTTGTATGTCGAAATAAGCAGTTACGCTAACGCCGTATAGGGCAACTTTGCAATTGAATCACTGTTTTATAATATAAAACAGTGATTCAATTTGTGGGTGATCGACGAGGCTAATAACTACTCTATATGGTTAGCCTATTGGATTATTACCCTTTTCGTTTTGAATCATTCTTTTGAATCACATTGCTAAACCTGTCTAATGGTGTTGCGGTGCTTTTTTTTT